ATTATAGCAAAAACATCGTTTAAGTTATTTTAATTGCAGTCTCTACAAAAAGTTGAAACCTTGTGGGCATGGAAGTAGCCTCTCAAGTTAAATGGCAGTGGACAAATCAAATAGATAGGTATTATTTTCCGGTCTCCCGCATCAGGGTAGGTAAGTAGTTGTTGACGGTTGATTTAGCCTTGATCATTAGATAACAGAAGCGTCATTTTACAGACACACGCTTCCACCGTCGGTCTGATCATCACTTACCATCAGGTGAGATACAGGCCAAGAGCATCCTCGTTGTAGATTAAAAAACAACTTTTACTGGTTGTAAGGGTTTTGACATCCTGGCTGCCAGGTTGTTTCGAATTCACTATCTTTAGGCAAAAGCCTACTGAAAAAAAGCCCGGGCCATGAGCGTCCATTCTGCTTTCTTCGGCCTCTGGCCGAAGAAACTATGACACGCAGCGTGCGCAAAATAGGCATGGCATGGCAAGAATCAAGTTTAAGTTCATATCATTTAGTATATTACTCTTTGGTGACAAATAAAAAGACAACGCATCGTATGCCGGCGCGTCAGACTAACTGGCTGCAGCTCATCAGCTGATGGCGCTGACATTGAATCGAAACAAAGGTCCGCAGCGTGAAAGCGCCGCCAAGGATGCGCGCGCGTCACGCCCCGCTACGGGCCGGTGAATGGGCGGCGCATTCACTCACTAATGTTGGATTTTGGCAATCCGTTAGGTTACCTGCTTACACTTATTGTAGAGTTAACTAACTATTGTCTAATGCAAAAAACGGTCGATCATAGAATAGTGCTCGAAGAAAAGGACACAAAGATTGATTCTCTCAGAATCAGAAGTCATATTGTCAGAGATAGTGGATTATACCCCAAATGGTAAATATGGAGTAATTACTTAGATAGGAATTTTCGAATCAAAACTTGAACATTTTATTGTGAACAATAGACAATTAGACACATTCAGCAAAATAAAGAGAACCTGAACTTTTAATTACCTGGTCAAAACTGATCAGTGAGTAAGTCATTTCAACAAACCAACAGTCTCCCAATATTTAATGATATAATTGCGCGAAAGTGATCCTAGTTTCTTAGTTAAAGCCATGGATAATAATAATGTGTACTATAACGTGTTACTTTGTAATTATCACGTTGTCACGGCGCGAACAGACTCATTCCAAGGCGCTTCATTAGAGGCCTTATTGATCAATCATCATCGAGCCCTGGACCCGCTCCGATTGTGAGCAGCAATCATGGAAATGAGCTGCCTAATAAGGATGTCATTACAATCGGTGTTTAGCTCAGTAATTGCCCATTTACGGCCACGTCTTCCAACACGTGAGTGGAGAGGTAATCTCATCAAAACTTGCCACTTGCCTTAGGCCCACTTGTTTTAAATGGCATGTATTTAAATGATCTTTTTAAATTAGCAAAAATGGCAAATAAAAAAATCTAAATGGTCATCTATTTTAATGATTGATCCTCTTTCTTTGAGACATAAAATAAATGAAATCGATCGATATTTTAACCTCTTTTGAACTACGCAAAAAAAATTTGAGATGTAAAAATTATATCTGATCGTTACTTGTTGGTCCTCAAAAATATAGGAAATGAGCACCAAATATTCAATATTGTGATACTTTTTTAAATAATTCGATTTGTATAAATTATTTTTTATCTTTATCAAATAATCTTCAAAATAATTATGTTATGGTACTTATTTTTATTAAGTTGTAGTCAAAGGATGGAAACTATTTAAAGGCACTTGATGTTTAAAGATTTTTTTTTATTAAAAAAGCATACTTAACACGTTCACACTGCGTTATCGGGTCGAATTGACCTTAGGTGCTGGATGCGTTGGTGCGGGATGGTATATTCGGTCTTTTCAGTAGTACGAAATATAAATATTGTTTTGCAATTGTTTCGTCAAACACAGTAAATATTTGGAAAAAAAAACTTATCAGGTCCTTACGACCCGATGTCGCACTAAAAGTAAACAAATATCGTTTAGTGCTTTTATCGTGTCTAATCGACCCGTTGACAGATGACTTTATGGTCACTGATCACGGTCGAGATCGGTATACTAAGAGAAAATCAACCTTGCGATTTGAAAAAAATAAAGAGGTAAAAATTATGATGTCGGGTTCAGGGATGTCAGAAGTAAGAAATTATTTTACATAGCGCCTCTAGTCCCAAACTAAGCAAAGCTTGTAATTTAAACAAACATGGCAATGTACCATTCTGCTTGCTTATTGGCCGCTAAGCCCTTGGCCAACTCAGTAACCAATGACGGACGATTGTCACTCAACCACAAAGTACCGCGTAAATTAAAAGATATTTTTTAATTAAAAATATTAACCAATAATATTTTTTGTTAGATCAAATATATTTTAAAGTTAAGTTATACATAGATCGAAATGTATTTATTAGGTGATCAATATTAAAAGGCAAACTTGATATAAAAATCATCAAATTAACAAAATTAAAGATCAATAACTAAAAAAGAGGATCAAATATTATTTTTGTTTACCAAATATTAAAAGAGTATATTAAACATGAATATTATGTTACCTTTAATGAAGATCATTCATAATTTATCCGTAGATCAACTAATATAGACCCAATAATTAATATAAAGATAAAATATAATAAAAAACATCATTTATTTTTAAAAGTGCACATACAAAAAAGATCAATTAGTTTTTAGAGGATCAAATAATATTGTCCCGTTTTAAATTTTGCGTAGAGTCAAGCATAGCGTTATTTGTTTATTGCAAAATATTACGTTTTTCAATGTATTATTCATCTTAGAACACCTTGTGACATAACTCTTACATAATCGATATAATAGCATCCTTCATAATGTAATTTTTCCTCTTAAACAGATTATGGTATTTTATTCTACAATTAGTAGGCGAATAATAATTATGAAACGTTAAAGTAAACGTCTTGAATTCTAAACTACTACCACCTACCACAATGATTGCCCATGTAGACACAGGAAAAACACTTATTCAATTTTGATATTATATTGCTATACACACTCTAATGTGGAAAACCTTAACGCACAAATAGACACAATGGCTGCTACGAATTCGGTTTATAATACATTTGGACTCCATTTTCATTTCAGACAGATAATTTCTCGATAACGATTTCAAAAAATTGTACTGTGTGAAATAATGAGTAATAATATTAATTATTAGGTGTTAACATAAATTAATAATTAATAGCCAGAATTTCAGCAAGCAACCGAATAGCTTGTGGGAGTCGCATCGTGTCGCAGAAATATGAGAAGTACTACAAAGTCCAATTACCGCTCCGGACCACAGTCGTATCTCTGGACAGACTCAAACCGGCCTACATCATGCAAGATCAAGATCATACAGAAGTCACAGAACCCGCATCGCCCACCACCACCCTCACAGCGGCATCAGATCATCATACTACGNATGGCTATAACTAAGTAAAGTTAAAAATAAAACTACAATTTCAGTCATCCTTTTAATTAATTGAACATCATTATACTTTAAAAAACTAAGATAAAAGCCTTTCTCTGTTATTGATTTTTGGTAACATCAAGGCATCGCACAGCCACATTCCGAGGCTCGTTTAGATTTGCAGCGTCTCGATGTTGAAACGACCTGCCCCCGCGCCGTTGCGTGCCTGAAAGTAAAACACACTTTCAAAATACAACGGTTCCTTCCACCAGGACAGCAGGATAGTGGAAAAAAGATACCAAGGTACTGGCTGTTGGACTTTAATAAGTGATTATCCTGAACAAATCCATAACAGAAAACCTTACAGAAAAAGTTTTTGTAGGTTTTTTCTTTATTTGATGAAAAGCATATTTTTTATAGGGTAAGAGTCCCTATCTATCTAAGTAAAAATATTTTGAATGCATAAAATTAGTATTTTCATGTCGGTTTTCTCAGAGAAATAGCTAATAGTCTTTATTTTAATCTAATTCGACATATCTAATAATTTTCTAGTATTCAGCACCCTACTCTTATACTGAATTGGCTATAAACTACTATACCGCACAATAACTGTCCCCAATGTTATTGGGCGTAAATCAATATAAAAATCGAATAATACACTTATTTTTAAATATTAGAGAGCAATATTAGGGAATATGCCATATAAAACAATTCAGCCTAAGGATTAGATGGGCACAAGTACAAGTAATACCCAAAATCACAACAACAGAAATAGTAAAATAAAGGCCTAACTTTGAAATAATTTTTTAAACAATTTTTTTAAATACTCATAATCAATATTTTCAAAAATGTCTTATGTCAAATTATATAACAGATACCAGTGATGAAGTATGCTTAATTTGAAAGTTGTAGCTGATAAAATAAAGATTTTAGAGCCAATTATGTAAAAAACCGCGATCCGCCGATTGGTTTTTTGGCTTTTCCCAAAAAACTGAATTTTGGAGTTGTGCCCATTCATTATTAAGGCGATTACATGGCCGAACGACCTTGAGCATTAGAGCGAGACAACGCGCCTTCCCCCGCGCGCCCGCGCTTCTGCCCGATACCAAAGAGCGTTCAGAATCAGATGCGACGCGCTGCGAATTCTAACATAAATGCCTACAGGAATATTGACTCGATCTGAATTTACGCAGATCGAAAAAAATTGCGATGCTTATTAATTGATGTACTTTAAAAAAAAACAAATAAATAATTTGTGAGTTTCAAAACCGAATTAAAAAAGAAACGTAATATTATTATTCTTATACAGAATAATAGTCGTGTGTCTAAGTGGACTTCTAAACAGTTTTTAAGTGTGAGTAAGAGTACCTAAATATAAATGTCTGTCGGTTCGCAAGTGCCAAAATATTGGTCAAAATTGAAAAAATATTTTTGAATTGATTTGGTTGAAATTGAAAGTTTCTAAATAGAAACTTGAAGTCGAATTGTAAGGTGTTTAATTAAATGAAATAGAAAATTAATTATTCATAACTTAAGTTTATTTTTAAATCATTAATATTCTTGTTCCATGTTCATTTATCCAAATGGCTATAACTAAGTAAAGTTAAAAATAAAACTACAATTTCAGTCATCCTTTTAATTAATTGAACATCATTATACTTTAAAAAACTAAGATAAAAGCCTTTCTCTGTTATTGATTTTTGGTAACATCAAGGCATCGCACAGCCACATTCCGAGGCTCGTTTAGATTTGCAGCGTCTCGATGTTGAAACGACCTGCCCCCGCGCCGTTGCGTGCCTGAAAGTAAAACACACTTTCAAAATACATGTAAAGAAGCATTTACTGATTAGTGATTATGCAAAATGAAATTTATTGATAGGCATACCATCAGAGTATGCACGTCGTGCGTGCGGGTATTGGCGGGCCGTTCCGGCATTGAGAACGCTGCTCGTAGTTCCCATTTTGCTCTCGGGATGCTTGGATGCTTTCGGTGTTACGATGGAACTGCAATAACTATGACTTTTTTTTCTTGATGAATCCCTGCAAATAAGTAAAACGTTAACAAAATGGGAATGATAACTCTGACATCCAACAAAAGCCACTTACCATCAGTATCCCTGCTTACAAGGCACCTACTGAAAATCAGTGTCTTGGCAGCTATCCTGTCAAGATGATACTGAGTTTTAACCGCCTCTGTGTTCTAGTGCTAAATTTGATCCTTGAAGACTTTCTCTGTTATTGATTTTTGGTAACATCAAGGCATCGCACAGCAACATTCCAAGGCTCGTTTAGATTTGCAGCGTCTCGATGTTGAAACGACCTGCCCCCGCGCCGTTGCGTGCCTGAAAGTAAAACACACTTTTAAAATACGTGTAAAGAAGCATTTACTGATTAGTGATTATGCAAAATGAAATTTATTGATAGGCATACCATCAGAGTATGCACGTCGTGCGTGCGGGTATTGGCGGGCCGTTCCGGCATTGAGAACGCTGCTCGTAGTTCCCATTTTGCTCTCGGGATGCTTGGATGCTTTCGGTGTTACGATGGAACTGCAATAACTATGACTTTTTTCTCTTGATGAATCACTGTAAATAAGTAAAACGTTAACAAAATGGGAATGATAACTCTGACATCCAACAAAAGCCACTTACCATCAGTATCCCTGCTTACAAGGCACCTACTGAAAATCAATGTCTTGGCAGCTATCCTGTCAAGATGATACTGAGATTTAACCGCCTCTATGGTCTAGTGGTAAGACCACCTGCTTCAGACGCAGAGGTCCCGGGTTCGATTCCCAGTGGGGGCAGATTTTTCTGTTCGGTTTGGTTGGTGGTAGGGCTTGTTCTAAGTCCGCCTGGCTAGCTACCACCACCTAAGTCTGTCGCCGTAACAACAACGTGAACAGCATTATTGTGTTCCAGCAGTTAGAGGTAAAATATAGCCAGTTCCTCCGTGGAGGATTCCGGGTGAAGCTCGTTTCCATCTTCGGCCTGATCGTCACTTACCATCAGGTGAGATACAGGCCAAAAGCTTCCTCGTTGTGGATAAAAAAAAAGAGTGGCCTTTTTGACTACATATTTTCTCTCTTCTCAAACTGTTTCATTTTAATCAAGCTTTTTTGATGTTTAAAACTCGTTAAATTGCAAATCCCTAACAAATATAGATGGTAATTCAATAGTTTCATCTATTACGCTTTCCTTAGAATATGAATTAACTTCAATATTTTCTTTATCTTCGGTTTTCTGTTTCTTTTGTGTCTTGCTTGATTTTTCTTGTTCTACATTTTTCCGCTTTCTCTTATTCTGATTTTCATCAATCGCATCTTGAATAAATTGAGCGTCCCTTATTTTCAAATTTCGAGGGATCCTGGGATCGACCAGTTCAGGAAGCAGACATTCTGTGTAAAATGTACACAATTTTTGCTTCATTTCCTTTTCCCAAAAACTATCGTTTTTAAAAATTACTTCTGTCTGTAGAGGTCGATCCTCTCCCGTCCAAATAGCAAACAGGCATCTAGATTTTTTGGTTATGTGTAGTTGTCCCTGTATTTGATAATACCAGGCATGCGTTTGGTTTATCACCATTTCTCCTCGTTTATTAATTTTGTAAAATGAAACTTTTTTATTTTCAACTGCTTCTCTGACGCTTTTATTAAATGCTGTTATGGGGCATTTAATTTCCACAATAGTGTCGTCTCCAATCAAACCATCAGGTGAGGCTCCAAGATACTGGATGTCTTCGTCTATGAAAAGTCCACACGGTGTAATCTGGACATTTTCTTGCAATGCTAGCTGTTTCAGAGCCTTTTTTTCATTTTCTTTGCCATGTTTTATTGAATTGACGTGAGATAGAGATTCCTTATATAGTATATCCTTTACAAGATTTGAACAGCTAGCCTTTCGTCTTTTGACTACTCTCCCAAAATTTGAAGCAGTTAAAAGGCTTCGCCTAAGCTCTAACCACTCACTGCAAGAACTTTGTAAAACGGTATCTCGCTCAACTTTTTGCCTTTCTTCTTTGTTCTTTTTCAAATTATGTAAGAAAGTTTCTTTTTCTTTTTCAAAGATATCAGCAGGCATATCAGGCCTATCACAATTTTCACCATAATTTTTGTCCTCTGCTTTGGAAAATAACATTCTGTTCTTTTTCCTCTCAAAACGTCTTATTGCTGTCATATGCTTTATTCGACTGTCTTCTAACTTTCTTACACTGCCACGAGGACTGCGCCCTGCGATAGATTTGTACACAGTTGTCAGCACTTTATGTGTATTAAAAGAGACTACAGCAGCATGGCACCTGGCTTGATACGAGCCACTCTTACTGAAGTTTACTCTTTTACCACCGACGAGCTTTGCCACGATGCTATTATAGCGTTCAACACTATTGCTGTCAACGTCGTGTATCAAACTTGGGGCATGGGCTGCCACATTTGACATTAACAAACAAATTTTTGACCACAATGTACTGGTACCAAAGTCTTTATAAGTATCTGAAGGCTGTGTATTTCCGACAGAACTACAAAAAAATGGTTTACATTTTGTGTGGTCATCGAACGCATGAGTATGAGCCAACATTAGATCGTTATATAATGGTTCTATGTTACACCGTCTTTCTGATTCTGTTTTTCCTTTGTGTGCTCGTATAATTATTCGGATAGTCTTTCTTAAAATCATTATTCGTTTTGTGGTGACAATTTTTCTGAGCCTACATAGGTATTTAGTATCCGTTTGAAGAGCCGTCAGTTTATTGCACAGATTTCTAAGAATGTGATTACGGCATTCAAGTTTTTCTATGGTAACATGAGGATACGGTCGACTTTTTAGTAACTTGGCATAGGTACTGGAATCTCCATCTGAAACCATCCTAGCGTATATCAGATTATGCATATCAATTGAACATTTAAAACCTTCGACGAGAATTTCAGACTCCATTGCCGTGGATGGACCACTATAGTTTTTGTAGCATTTGTGAGTTTTCGGTAGAAGTTTTTTATTTTCTGCTTGAGCACAAATTGAACAGTATTTATTTTTCACACCTAAAAAAAGTACTTCTCCTGTTTTTCTCCCAATAATGGCAGCAGCACCAGATAAGGCTGAATAATTTTTTTTGTAAGTCCGCTTACACCAACATCCGTCGACTATAACGTCTATGATTGGTACGCCGTTTTTATCGACTCGATTTTCAGCTAAAGCTAGTTCTCTTTCTTTTGCTGCTGCTTGATTCATACTCTCAACTGAAACTTTTTCCCAATGCGTTTGAAGCTTACAGTGACAGGCTTTGTATATCTCTGGAGTCATAATTGGTAAATTAAGTGCTGCAGAAAACTCTTGGAGTTGAGAGTGTCCATTTCCAGTTGCGATTGCGCCAGCAACCGCACAGTGATTAATAGTCAGTTGGTTGCCAGGAGCGTCACTTTCTACGTAAAATTTTTCATTACACATCTTGCATCTTAAGATGAACATTGAATGCAATCCCGTTCTTTTTTCGCCCACAATTTTAACGCAACCCAAGCCACACTCCAAATTCCCATGGCCCGCTATCTCTTGCAGTTTTGCATAGAAATGATGCACTTCAAGTATTCGTCGACCTTCAATTGCAAATTCTGAGTGAACCTCTGAAGCAGGTGTTGTCTCTATCTAAAACATAAAGTGTTCAATGTTTCAGGTACCTACATTACACACACAATTATGTCATTGTATTGTCTCGATGTTATTTGTGGTGATTGATGTATGCTTTAAGAGTTAATTGTAATCTATTTATTATTTGGTATCAACAGATATGTAATAGGATCTTTCAATAAAAAAAAACAAGTAGGTAAGTTTTTACCTGGATTTCATCACTGATTGCGTTTTCATCCAATGTCGAGGTTCCAGCAAGCGTCAACGTGCTATTATTAACATTATTATCAGCTGATGGTCTAGGTAATCCATCCAAGCAATTTTTGAGATTTTGAAGACTTTTGTCTAGATCCTCAAGTGTCACATTGTCTCTATAAAAAAATAACAAAAGGTGATCCAACAGGCTATATAACTTTATCTACTACTTAGGTGACTTGTTATTTAACAATTGGCAAGTGAATATGCACTAAAATACCCAGCCGACATAGACGAAAATTTCATGTTTAGCTATCCTGATATTATTATGTATTAAGATGAAAAGATTTTAAACTTTCGCGTTCAAATTCAACTAAAATAGAGATCTCAACGAGACATTTTTATATGAGTTACATATCAAGTACGAATCAGTATTCGTACTTGTTGTGTGTCATGGTAATAGATAGATAGATAGATAGATATTTCATTACAGTGTAACAAATGATTGTCATTTGAAAATTTGAATGAATGAGGGTAGTTGAAAATATTTACGCTCGCCCAAACGGACGACGCCGCGAGCCGCCAGTCTGTTTGTGGCCACCGCTCCAGCATAGGCAGCGGAAACATCAAGTCGCGAGTACCTACATAATTATGTAACTCATTAAAAATGTTGCGTCATTATGACACGTGTTTCTCTATCTTTCTGAAACTCACTAATTTGCCGTAGGTCATAAAAGGAAAACACGTCTTACCCGATTTCGTCCGCTTTATTTTCCTCAACTTCCTCCACCGCATGGTCTGGGGGTATTTTCTTCAATCTCCTGAAAACAAAATACTAATAAATATATTTTAAAATATTATTACCAGGGAAATTATGTGGTATCAATTACCTAAACTTCGCGACGAGACAAATGAGCTGGATGAACCATCCTTGGAAATAAATTCAATTTTTGTGGGGACCAATGAGATAAAAACTCATGCCAACTAAACCTGTAGATGAACAATTCGAAACGCAAAATGCACAAAAGTGATGTGATTGTTTCCAAGAAATTAATAAAATTAACACTTCTGCTAATTATAGAATTTAAATAATCCTTTGCAGGTAGGTAGTCATGGAAGACAGCCACCGTCGAAGTATACTGTCTCTATTGTTGTAACAGGTAACAAAATAAAAAGTACTTTAAAGGCATTTTTGTTGTCTTGTAATTTCTTATACCTTTACGTAAGCGAAAAATATAATTATCTCGTCTCGAAATTTAATAGCATAAATTCAGAAAAACTAGATAATCAGATTAATTTTTATAGGTACTCACCGTAATTGGTTCATATGCGAAGCTTTATTCAAGTAATTCCCAGCTTTTTTTTTCTGGCGTGGCATCTCGTGTACGTGATATTTAAATTATCTCAAAATTTTTATAATGCTTAATACTTATTTAAAATTACGCACTCGGATCACTAATCATCATCTACTAACTCATAGTAGCTCGGCGGCTGAATTAGTGTCGTGCCAAACGTACCTTCTGCGCTATAAATTCTATAAAGAAAAACAATGGCAAAAAATAGGAGCGGAGCGGGCCGAAATGCGACACAGCCTCCCCGTGCGAACGCTAGGGACAGACTGAGTGGCCGCATTCGCCCGGCCCGCGTGTGTAAATTACGGGGTATTTTGATTGTATGACACGTAATACATTATTTTTGAAAAAAAAATGAACAACAATTTTTTAGATAAATAAATTTTCTATCATTTGGTGAAAGAATCATTAAAATCGCTTTAGCCGTTTAGGAGTAGTAGGAAATTTCTTTCGTGAAATTAGAAGAAAGTTAAGATTTTTTTCTGTCAAAACTAATAGTTGTAACAAAAAAAACGAACAACAATTTTTTAGTTAAAGATATTATAAATCTCACACATATTTTTTTTCCTTGTTTGGATCATCCATTTAGGAGGAGTAGGGATTCAAAGAGAGGTCTATTTTGCAGTTTTGCCTCACCTATCGCCTTAAGGGTGCGATATGTTTTATATCAGTAACAAATACAAATTCCTCAAAACGAAACAGCATTAAAATATCAAACAGTTCACTCTGTACCACATCACCATTTAAAAGTATGTCATTAAGTGAAACTTTTCTACTTGTTTTCATTGACCCATCAAAAACAGTTCTACATTTGGTAGTCTTTTTATCCATTCGGACCACGGGATGATGTGGCAAGAAGTAAACTGGGTCAGTATTGAGATCATACTGGTTAATATCAATTTTAGTAGCATGATCTAATTCAATGTATTCTTGTATGAAGTTTTTGTAAAGATCAAACAATATAGGGTCTTTATGTAGTCTAGCTTCCAAATTGTAAAATCTTTTTAAGGCTAGATGTAAAGAATCACCAAGTGTTTCGTTAACAGAGGTAAGAGGGAGCTTGAGAGGCAAGGCAACTTCAAATTTATTATCTTTAAGCTGTACATGTTCTTTGAATATTTCCTCACAAGTGTTGTGTTCTGAAGAGCACTCTTTAAAAACCTCAGGTACTGACTCAGCCTGCCAAAAGCGAGTTAATGTATCATCAAGATCTGAGTCACATTGTGTGCAAAACAAAGATACCACCTGATTAGGAGTAGGGCCGGCAACATTACCAGCTATTACATGGCCGAACTGTGTGTTGAGAAGCGTTGGGTAATGGACATCTTTAGTGGCGTCGCTGGCTGTGGACTGCTTTGTAGGCGGCTGGGAAGCTCGCGCAGGCTCACTCGACAACAACACCTGGAAAAATATGTCAGCTCCAATTAGAATATGTATATCGCTTGGCTCATGAAAATCTTTGTCTGCGAGAGTGACATCTGATGGCAAAATTAGCTTTGTGAGATCTATTTTTCTTTGTGGTAACTTGCATGTAATTTTATCTATCACAAAACATGACATTTGTATCTGAAAATTGTTTACCTAAGAATGAATTTGAAGTTGTACAAAATTGTTCAATTTGTTCATCGAGTTGCCAATACCTATGACTCCTGACTCAACTGTTTTAGGCTGCAGTTGCAATAATTTAACAAGTTGTGTAGTAACCAATGAAATTTGTGCTCCGCTGTCCAACAAGGCCTTGACGTGTATCTCTGTCCCATCTCCTGCAACAAGCTTTACCTTGGCGGTTGGGAGGAGCACCTGTGTGCTTGTAGAATTGGACAGCAAAGTCACTGGAGAAGTACTCACATGTAATAATGAATTGTGATTTTGCTTGCAGGTATTACATTTGAAATGATACCTACATGGCTTTGAATGAAAGTTTAGACACACTTTGCATAGCTTGTTATTGTTAACAAATGCTACACGATCTTCACTCGACATTAATTTGAATTTAGGGCAAGAAAATAATTTATGGGGGTACTTACACAGCATACATGATGGCGCAGTTGCAGACTTGTTGGCAACTAACGCTGCCGGCGGCTCCTCCTTGTAGGCTGCTCCACAAATCTTTGTAGGACCCTTATGCAGGTCAGAATTTGGGGCTGCTGGACGCTCTGAATTCTCGAGTGCAAGTGCACGCTTTTCTAAAAATTCAATTAAAAATTTAACAGAGGGTTCCTCGTCTCGTGCAAATTGGAACTCTCGGTTGCATAGGAAATCTAATTTTCGCACTAACACACACAATATAATGGCATCCCACTGCTCTATGTTACATTTTAAGTTTTTGAGGGCAGCGAGCTGCTGTTTTACAATTGATATAAAATTTCGAATGTTAGATGCAGTTGATTTTACAATTGGTGGAATATCTAGTAACATATAGATGTGTTCACTTTTGATTTTGTACATATTATTGTATCTGTCATTTAATATTTTGAGGCTATCAGTGTAGCTTTCGGCCAACATGGGTAAATTTTTGACAAGGTCGAAAGGTTCACCCTTTAAAAATCCTCTTAAATAGTAAAACTTTTGTATTTGGTCGAGGTTACAATTTCTGTCAATCAAGGATTCAAAAAGTTCAATAAAAGTTTTATACTCAGAATACTTGCCTGTAAATGGAGGTATTTTGATATCGGGGAGCTTAATAGGAACCACGTTTGGACCTTGCCTTGATGAGGCTGAGTTTTTTAGGCTCATGATGGTCTCTAACACCATAAAACATTTGGTCTCGACGACGTCGACGTCCTCATCGTCGTCGTCGTCGCGATCAAGTGCTGTGATAATTTTCAAGTTGTATTCCTCGTATTTTGCAAAGAGTGATTTTATTAGCTCCTCTTTGACGTGAAGAGCTTCTTTGGTCATCGCGGTAGTCGACTCTGTGAACGATTTGTGTAATTTAGTAATTGAAGCCTTGATTGACCCTCTTTGCTTCCTAAGGACAGCTAGATTTACATCATCGTTACCTTGCTTTGGGTTTTCCATTTTTATTACTCTAAACACCTTAAAATCCTTAAACACTGGGATTATAATTTGATTTACAACGCAAAAACACTGCACGTGCACGAAAAAACACTTGGATCACTTGGATGGTAACAAAATGGCGGATTGTAGAGATGAGACGTATTTACTAGAACAGATCCACACACTAGGTATTTTACAGTACTAAGTGGCACCTATTCCAATTTTTAAAATACTTGATCCACCTAGTATTTTTTAAATTACACGATTTCCGACCCTACCATCAAAGTAATAGAGGTTATTATTGCATAATCCGTAGTCGTGTATTACGCGCACCGCGTATTTCTCGCTAAGCTTATGTGCGAACGTAGAGATTCACTCCGTCTCTGTCTGACAAACAAATTTGAGCGCAGGCAGGTGTGAGATAGGAATAGCCTGTTGAAGTATGAAGGGAGGATATCAATAAATCAACAGCCAGCAAAAACATTATTATTCAATTTCAAATTGCATTATTAATACTACGGTTGTATCTTTTCAAAGAAAATTGTATTTTAAAGTCATAATACGTGGATTAGTCCGCACTAGTCGCGTCAAGTATGGTANGTATAATTGGTACACTATTTAACTTGTTAAACACTACACACACAAAACATTGCACAGCCGCCATATTAACTGACAGATTGAAATTCAGATTTATATAATTCGTAAATTAGAATTTATTGTAAGGTTTTTGGTTTCTTAATAATTCAGAATTTAATTAAGATCTCCGATTCTAAATATGTATGATAATATTACCCTATTTTTAATATATTGTAAAATGAGAAACTCCAACTTCCGCTTCCGAATAAAAATAGTTTTAAGATCCTGTGCCGTGATTGGTCGACTGTTCTGATTGGTCGTTTTAAGCCGACCAATCGGAGTTGAGTAAAAAGAGGGAGAATTTGTGTATAAATGGATGGAATTTCTCATGGAGAAGTAGTCTCGACGGATCTTTGAGGTGATGCTGACCAAAGTTAAGTATACATTGTTTATTGGTACTATTATTATGCTTGTTGTGTAATTGTATTGTATTATTGTGATATTGTATTAACACCTGGATATGTGGCTGCGCCAGGCCTATTATATTGACACCTGGCCAATTGATGGTGACATTTCACGGGGTCGGGTC